AACTTCTAAAACCTGGGAGGAGATTAAGAACGATACGCAGAAGCCTGACGAGCTTGGAGTAGTTTATTAATTGACTTAATACATAATTTATTTTTTTAGAATAAATTAATGCAGCAATATCAACAAGGATATCTTGTATACAATGACATACAGTAAAACAGTTTTGGAAAGTAACTAATTTTGGTAAAGAGAAGGTTTCCTCGAGGTTATCATCACAAAAATGCGCAGGATTAAAAAGTAATATTTTCACTAGCTTTAAATAGATTTTTTAGCTGACTTCCCGAGTTTGAGTTTCGAGCCTTCTCCTTTCAAACTATATCCTGGCACCTGATATAGTCTGCCCACCGTCGGCGGGTGAAGGCTCGTGGACTCAGCGCTGTTCATCCTGATGAATTTTGGCACGTACCCCCTGGTTCCTCGTTACGTCATGACTGCCACAGGGGTTGGCGGTATTTTTGCTCATTGTTGAAAGTGTTTCCCACTTTCAATCGTTTTAAATTCTGCTCTAATTTCGTCTAACAGTGTCAAATAAATATTGAATGCTATCGCAATAGTCAGCCAATCAGTCTTGATAACCCACTGTCCATTCGTATCGCGGAGGCCATCGCTATATGCAGCACATTTGTAAAGTTTTACTGTCAAGCCTTAAACACTTTTCTGATCAATTAGCAATTGCATATTCAAAATGCAGTACATTTAGTAGTACTATTTTTTCGGTCGCACATCAGAATGATGACGTATTGTTGTTTACAAAATAGTAGCTGTTTCTTTTCACGCTTAATGACGATTACTCGTGTTTTCCTCGTATCTCCTGATGGCTGCCTTTAGTCACTCTTTGCTGACCTCTTCTTCGTCACGGATTTCCCTGTAGTGGCTGCCTTCACTTGATGCGTTTCCTCTTTTGTCTTCCGTTGTCTGGTTCGACCTGGCTTTGAGTTTTCTTTGTGTACCTTTCTTGACTTAGATGCTTCTCTGGAAGCACTTAGGATGCTGAAAGACTTTCCTTTCCCTGCCGTGGCTTTGGAATTACCTCGGCGGTTCAGATTCAGATGCTTCATTCTTGGATGTTTTTCAGTGGAAGAAGCAATGGTGAATTCTTTTTGTGACAGTTGTCTAAAAGGCATATTTCTATTCTGTTTCTTTGAGCTATTTCGCTGCTGAGTAGCCTTTACTCTTTTATAGCATTTACTGATATTTCTCTCTTGCATGGTTGTCGCGCTCTTTCTATTAATGGATTTAACGCTTCTACTGCTCTTTCGCCTTTTAGCATTTGAACGACCCTTCCTCAAAAGAAGCGAGTTTTTGTTTTCCTTAACTCTTCGACCGGTTGATTCTGTTTGAGCTCCAGGCTTAAGGACCTTTAAGTTTTTGCCATTACTTTCAGTACTTTTAATATCACGATGATTGTTCAAGTTTCTGTCGTGGGTCTGAATTCCCTCGTAGCCTGCTAAATTGGTTGTTTTCAGCGAATTTTCTATTTGACTATCATCAGCAGGTTTTAACGTTTTAAGGTTTGCATCAGCTTTTTTTAACTCTTGTTCTGGAACCCACTCTGCTAAAGTTGATCTATTCTTTTCCAGCTTGACTGAAGTTCTTGACGTCGCTGAAAGTTCTGGTATTGAGGGTTTTTTAGGAAGGGTGCTTTTAAAGCTTTCGGAACGGATTCCACGTTTGACCATACGCTTGCCTTCTGCTTTCTTCGCCGCCTCAAGAACCTAGAAAGACGATAAATTATTAGTGGCTCAATTTCACGTTATGCTCATTTATTAGTGCCCACATGCAGACACAATTAGCTTACGAATGGGTTATGAGCAACAGCAGGCTAAATAACAGCAAATAGAGCAAAATATTATTTTAAAGCTGTTCGTTTAACTTGATAAGCGAAAGCTAAGTAAAAAACATACCCATCTCTACTTCAGAAGAACCTACAGATCAACAAATACCTGTAAGTCAAAACTTTGATATTTTATGGTCATAAATAAGATGCCATTCTTTTCATGGAACCATATTCCAACAATCAGTGGGCACAATAGCGAATTCATTACTGAAACATATTGAATATTTGGCTGGACTGATGAAGCACGGACAATACAGAAAGCCCTCTACGACTGTGCTGCTCCCGCAAAGCGAAAGGAATAGCAAGTCATGAAAACTGAATGATATCAAAAGCAGTTTTTCGTGATAGCTATGACATTCGTTGGAAACTGAATAAAGTTTGCAGATTATGCTTAGTTCAATTCTGAACAGCCATATTCAGAAGACCATCTTGTTTCGTACCACAATATCAATCAACCATTATGACGTGAAGGTAAACTTGGTTTCACAGGTTGACAGTATGTGAGGTGAGCCTGAGAAACCCCAAGGAACAGGAAACAGTTGGAATGATTCACATGTTGGTGTATTGGCTCAATGTTTCAGTATCTACTCCGGGGG